TACAAGACCGTACATAAGATGCATATCTGCATACTCACTAAATGTGTATTACATTATCAAATTAAATTTACCAAGATATTCAAAATTCAATAAAACAATATTGGAGTACTAAAAGATCAACGTTGAATTGGTGAGTGAAAGAACAATTCAAGTGCCAAAAACGGTAATTTTAACTAAGATAGGCAAATTCTTTAAAATTCATAGGCCTATCACATAGCGAAAGAATAATACACCGACCAACATCATACGAGCGATGAGGGCTTGTTCAATTTTCGGCTGAGTGAAAAAACAGTACAAGTACGGTGCATGTACTATTTTTTCACTTAATAGCCATGTCGTTTCGTAGAAAAATTTATCACAGATTTCAAAAACTGGTGGTCGCAATTTCATAAAAAAAAAACCTCTAAATCAGCTGATGAACAAAAAGCTAATTTTGTCATTCCGCAATTCAGCCAGTTTACATACACTGGTAAAACTCCTAGATATGTTACTTCAAGTGCCTTCATAGGCGGTTTTCTCTCACACACTTTTATGTGTGATCAAACCTAATGCCAATCTGAAGTTACATTTATGGCGGGTATACACGCTACGGTCCTGTGTGTGCAGGTGTGCCTGCACAGGTAGAAGACATACACGCTAGACATGAAGCCAACCTGAGCAGGCACACCTGCACAGGTAGACCTCTCCGGTAGACCGTTACGTGTATGCTCGCCATTAGAAAATGCATACTCAGAAGTTGTCCCTATTAACGTAAAGAAGATATAAAGATACTTTTATTCTACTTTAGTGATGAATACAAATATTATTTCTTGGAAAGTCAAAAATGAAGATTCTGATTAAAAAATTACAAATAAGTTTGTTAAATTTAAAGCATTTTTTTTAAATTGAGTGAAAGAACAGTATAACTGCAAGTCATTTTTTTCAAATATCATTTTTTGCATAATTTTATTTTTAAATTTATGTACGTATTTATGGTGGCGGTGCGCCATACCATAAAATATAAAGTTTTTGATTTTTTAATAATATGCAAGGCTTCTGTTAGAGATGATGTATTTTCAAAACTTGATACATACAGATCATCTAAAAATATTATATAACAAACTTCACAAAACCATAACAATTTAAAACTATAGAAACAACCAAGAAGGTAAAATATATACAGGTAGTTTCGCGAGTGAACACCACAAATAAATATTTACTGCCTACAAGTTTTTTAGATGCTCTGATACCAGGATGACAAATATTGTGCAAATGTTCATACACGCTGTATCTGAGGTTTTTAGGTATGTAAGGACGTTGTATAGGTGATGATACTTCACACCATATTTCTGTATCCTCATGAGACATTTTTATGAGTTCTAATATGTGTTTGTTTTGTGTTTTGGTTGATTGATTTTTTAATAGGTTTTTCAATTCTATGTCGGCATTTTGAGAGTCCTTCAACGATTTTACATTAATTAAATTTTCATTTAAACAGAAAATAATATCGTCAACTCGTGATAAGGTGTCAGCGACCACATTTTACTTACCTTGAATATGACATATGTCAGAAGTAAATTGAGCAATAAATTCTAAGAATCGAAATTGACGTGGGCTTTTTTCTGAAGAGGATGTAAGAGCTTTAGTAAGAGGTTTATGGTCGGTATAAATTGTAAAATAGTGGCCTTCTAGAAAATATCTAAAATGTTTGATGGATGCATAAATGGCTAACAGTTCACGATCAAAAGTAGAGTATTTTCTTTCGGTAAGAGTGAGTTTCTTTGAAAAGTAAGCTATAGGTTGCCTTCTATTGTTTTGCAGCTGTTCTAGTACAGCACCTATAGAAGTATTGGATGCGTCTACTGTCAAAGAAATATGATCATTTAGAGAAGGATGGATAAGCATAGTAGCATTGGCTAATTTGTTTTTGACATCCACAAAACTATTTTCACATTTATCAGACCAATGGTTGATAATTTTATCGGATTGGTTTTGTAATGTAGTAATTACTTCATATAGAGGAATAAGTGATTTAGCAAAGTCTTTAATAAATCTGTGATAGAAGTTCCTACATTCCTACAAAACGTTGTAGTTGTTTGAGATTTTGGGGACGTGGAAAATTTCTTATGATGTCTACACGTTCTTCTGACGGAGGATACCATCAGAGGAAACAGTATGGCCAAGAAATATTCATTTTTGAGATCCAAAAATGCATTTATTTGGTTTAAGATTAACTCCGAAAGAATTGAGTCGCTCAAATAGAGTTTTTAGGTGTACTAAATGTTCTTTTTCATCTCTGCTTGCTACTAATATATCATCTATATACACGAAAAGAAAAGGTAAACCAAAAACAACTTCATTTATAAAACGTAGAAACGTTTGTGCTGAATTTCGCATACCGAAAGGTAAGGCTTCTGTTAGAGATGATGTATTTTCAAAACTTGATACATACAGATCATCTAAAAATATTATATAACAAACTTCACAAAACCATAACAACTTAAAACTATAGAAACAACCAAGAAGGTAAAATATAAAACAGGTAGTTTCGCAAGTGAACACCACATTATTATCGGTTAATAAAAATTCTATAACTTCACAATACATAAATAGGCCGAATAACCCATAGTTCTCCTTTAAAACAGTTTTTTTTTTGTTTTTCTCAAAATGGTCATTTTGGATATGTATTGTTCTTTCACTCACCGATTCATTTAAAATGCACACGTCAATGCAATTAGGCGGTAGCTGGAAAAAGGGCACATAGAGCTAAAAGTGCTTTTGAGATATCCCCGTCCAAAGTTTGTATTCTAGTGCACCATATTATTTTACAACAAAATCAATTTCGGATGGTTCAATAATAATATATTGTGCAACAAGTGCAGAAAGTAACCAATTCCACACGATGTGTGAAACTTGTGGCACGAGCGAATGCGAGTGCCACACTCACACGTGTGTGGAATTGGTTTTCTGCACGAGTGGCACACTATACTTTTTCTACGACCACAATGACTTAAAACACAAATATATTTTTTAATAATTGGATGATCTTTATTAACGATTTAAAATTAGAAATATAAAGAGGTGGTAAATATTTATTATTGTTATCACTTTTTAAATGTGTAATTAACATAGTTTCTTTTTCATATTTTTCGTGGACATCGTCCGGGTTTCTCCTGTTTATGCCCCAAATAAAATAAAACAAATTATTACCACTATTAATTTTGTTTAATAATTCACTAAACTATATAAACGTATTTGAATTTTCTTAAATTTCAAATACAAATTTATTTATTATAAAAATTAATATTAACAACATTACAGTTTGAAATATTAAGTGGTGGTAAATCATGAGCTTGGATGGTTTTTTCATATGTTGTTTCTGAAATAGATATTCTGCTAGTAGAAGCTTCAGGTTCTTCAATCCTATTTCTACAGAATGTAGAATTGAATTTGCGATATCCATTTTATGTGATAAACTGTCATCGATGTATCCTTCCGCGGTTGTAGTTGACTTCCATCTGCCGTGTCTTTTAAGCTTTGTTATATCTGCTCCAGAATTAACTAGAATTGTTGCGGACGAACGGCGAAAACAGTGGCTTGTATAATTTTTGTGATCTGGTAACTTCAAATATTCAGCAATTTGTTGTGCCATATTTCCAAATGTATTGATTCCTACTGGTTGCACAGTGCGCTTGCCCTTTTGATAATTCGTAAAAAAATAATCGTGAGGTATATTTGAAGGACGAAGAGTGTTATATTTTTTAAATATTGCATAAAAATCTCCAGTAACTGTAAACTTTCTAGGAACTTTAGTTTTTGTCTTTGTTATATTGACTAAAACAGCAGAGCCCATGCTCCCATCATTCCCAAAATCAGAGCTGTCTATAAAATTAAATTTAACATGAAAAAATATTAATCTCTCATATTATTAAGTATTTACCTTTATAAGTAGATAAACATCATCGGAAGCTTCATTTAAAAATTGGTTGATTTGTTCAGGTGTAAGTATTTTTGACTTTTTTGCTACATATCCTTCAGACTTTCTTTTCAGAAACGAGCGCAATTTTTGATAGCGTGAAATATCTACATTTTGCCTTATTGACAATGTAGTTCTCAACATCGAGTAAATTGACCATAATGTAGAAGATTTAAAAGATTTCGATTGCTTCCCAAAATAAGCCATTAAAATAGTTTCTGAAAAGGAGTTCACCTTATTTTGTAGTCGCCAATCCATAAATCTTGAATAAGCTAAGTTGTATTTTTTCGCCGATGTTTGAGGCAATAAGTCTTCTGTAATGTTATTCGCTATTTCTTTAATATGTGGTGGAGTATTATAATTATTATCACTACTATTACTATCACTGTCCATTTTATTATTTATAGTTTTCAAAAGTATCGAAATAAAATAAATTAAATGTCAAGATTTGAAATGTCAATATTTTAAATCGGGTAACTCGATTTAAATTTTTGTTGTATTAGCCCCTTTATATAGGCAACCAACATTACATAAATTATAAATTATTTTAAGTTTTTTTCTAAATTAACTGAATTTTGTAGTATTCGACGAAATATTTAGTTAAATAGATATGTCCTTAAAATATAATATTGTGTTTTTTCATTCATACTAAAGGTTGTACGACAATTTATTCGATGCACTAAACAGTGTGGAATTACCGTGTGGAATAATATTTCCACACTAATTATGAATGTGTACGGAATTACCTACTTTGACCCTTAAAAAACAATTCGGAATTTATAATTTTCTGTAGTGGTCGTCGAAAAAGATTTTTTAACATTGCTTTCAAAAGAATAAGGCTTTAAAAAACCGATTATATCACATACAGAGTTGATTATAGCACAATAAAAAAAGTAGTTTATTTGCCTCTTTTCCATAGAATCATAACAAAATATTAAAAGTGGTTTATTTGTTTATTTTTCAATACAATGGCTTTGTAAGGGATGATATTCTATAAAAAAATAACGAATTGTTATGACACAAACACTTTAATCCTATAAAAATGTTACTCAGATACAGCATCACTGTCGAGCATGTCGTCCTCGGAGAACCATTCATCTTCTTCATCTAGGCCCTGTTGTATATCATCATTCGCTTTTTCTGTTATATCAAATACTTCTTGTTGAATCCACTGAATACTTGCCTCGTCAAGAAAACAAAAAAGGCCAGAAACGTCTTTCTTTTTCATCGCATTTATCCCGCATGCTTTGACTCTTTGTAGAGTTAGTGGGCAAGGCACTACTCTAGTTGGGTTTTTGAAATATTGAAAGTGTCTGTAAACTTCAGTATACGTTGATGAACACGACAATATTCCATTCAATGACGCTTTTGGCAAAACATACTTCTGAATTATGTATTTATCACCTTTGATAAGCGGTGCTGGAACACGTCTAAATAGTAGAGAGAGCCCAGTTTCCAAGTCAGGAAGCAGTGTGTGGTCCATTAACACTTTAAAAGGATGGTTGTCTTTCTTTCGTGCTTCAACCATGCCGCTGATATATGGCTTAGCTGTAAATATGTTTTATTTTTTCTTTAAGACGGTCCTGATTAAGCCAAATTTTCGATCACAAACGGAAAACGAATGACCCCGAATAGGAAAGAGTTGTGTTACTGTAACGTTATGTGCCCCTGCAAATCAACAACAGAACTGAGTCATGGTTTTGTTCTTATTCTTCCCTCCACAGTTGTCCGAGAGCAAAAAAATTTGTGAACAGTTTCTCTATTTTGGTAATGTTTTCATTAGACAGTCAAACAAAAAAGATGCTACCGAGTTAGATCCCTTTTTGGACGAGTACATAGACGAAGAGTTGTCGTTGTAAATATGTATGTTTAATGTGTACATCCAAAGAAGTCGTTTGTAAAACTGCCGGTTTACATTTAATTTGGGGACATCAAAGTTTTGGCCGTAATCAAATTCAACGACAAGTAAGGTGTTGTCAGTTTTAACCCTTGCGAGTAAGTAATTCCGTTTGTGGATGGCATATTCCAACTTTTTCGCATCATTTGGATTTTCTACCAGGATTTTGTTCATTTTTGTGCAGTAATCACACACGTCAGTGCGTGGACATCGAAAAGCAAAATTGCAATGTTGGCTGAAATACTTGAAATATGTTTTATACTTCTTGGTCAATCGTTTTCCTGTTGTATCTTTGTAATAGCTTGAGAAGAGATCGTGTAACATCTTAACGTTTAAATTAGGTTCATCAAAATAGTTCAGATTGGTTTTATGTGAGCAGTAGTGGCTTTTTTGTGTGGAATAGAGAGAAGATGTTCTTGCAGAAGTTCATAGACATCCACGTTGATTTTGTGTGGCCGATTGGTATGACCCCTCATGTCCTTTAGGGGAGTATTTGCCATAGTCTTTGTTCGGATATTTCGTAGACGTTTGATTGAGACTTTATAAAGCTTTAATAGAAACACTACATACGTTTACTGTACGTGCATTGACATTTATGTTATATTTCCAGACAGACAACTGCACTTTTTTGGGATTAGTCATCTGTGTCTTCACTGGCTGCCTTTCCATGCAACTAGAGAGTATCGTATCTTAAATGTGTTTATCACCACTTCTCCAAAATATTTCAAAAAGGTCCGCCTGTGAAATTCTGTTGACATTTTTAAAGCAATTTTGGTTGCAACAGCTATCGACATAAACAAAATTTTTACCTGCATTTTGTACACCTTTTTAATCTTTGTACGCTTCTCCTGACTGACGCGCACTTTTTGCTTTCTCATTTTTCCACTCTTTACTGTTCACGCTACTTTCCTTCTAGATACAGTCACACTTTTGACAAGAATACCACTCATAGTAAAAACGATATATTTGCAGTTATTCCAACTCACAACAACTCTATATTCACTGCAGCAACGACAAACACTCACTGAGACAGAATATTCGATATCTCGGTCATGTTTCGAAATATCGATATAAAATTTTTAGTGAATGTTACTAAGATGTCAGAGATATTAAAATCGTGTTCTACGCATAAGGCAATGTGTCCTTTTTCCAGCTATCACCTCAATTATTCATTTATTTATTTATTTCGTAAGTACCATAGTAACGTTTGTAAAAACAGTGCGTTTTTTAATACAGATAACAGTTCTATTTTAATGACTTTCGTATCACACTTTACTGCAGACAAAAAAAAATTGGAAATCATGGTTTCTTTTTATTTTTAATAAATATAAAACAATAATTTTATTATTTATTTTTTCTCGAAAACGGTTCATTTTATCGACAATGAAGAAGAGTTCCATTTCTTTAGCTTAACACATTCGCCGCCAAGCCAATTTTCATAAAACTTCCCAGTACGCCACCCAAAAGAGCGACTCAGCGGACACCGGCATTTTTCCCTCGCATCACGCCAGGGCGGACAAAATTTTTCCGATTTTACCACGCCACAGCGGACATAATAGCGGACACAAATATATATGAGCGGGCACGTCGTAACAGGTCTGTTTGCCGAAGCGGATCGTGCGCCAAATGTCTTGCTGAACTCAGTATTGCATAAATTAGCGTAGTAGACACTTGACAGTGGTTTTTCGTCACAAGTTTTTGCTATTTTGTTTTTTCATAAAGTGACAATGAGCAGCAGATCGAGACATATTATGTCCCTTGTGGAATGTTTTAATAAGGACTGTAATAAATAAGGTTTTTTGCCATTTTGTTTTTATACTAAAAAATGTTAAAATGTGTGTACCTATAAAACAATATATTTGTTATAAATAACGAGAATTTTTTTGATATGTTTTTTTTGTTTTAAGAATTGTTATATTTTAGTAGTTAAAAGTAGTTTACATTTCCATTGAAAAAAAATTTGTCCGCTCTGGCGCCTAGAGTTTAGCTGCTTTAAAAACTTTTTTACACGCCACAGCGGACACAATAGCGGACACAGTCCATAAAATGTAAACAAAACTCTTTTTCAAAAAACCACGGACGGTAGGCCATTCTAGAGGCCTAAAAAGAATAAGTTATATTAAAACATTTACAAAATTCCGGTGTCCGCCCTGGCGTGATGAGCCGACCACGCAGCGGACACCAGTGTCCGCCCTGGCGGTGAATGTGTTAATGTTCAAGGTATCGAAATTAATTTTTTTAACTCCCTATCATACAGGGTGTTAAAAATGTAAGTATTAAAATGTACAACCTAGTCCGCCCCTGGTAAACTAAACAAGCTAATTTTGTTTTAAGGGCAATATTTTAAAAGGTTCTTACTACTGTTTATCATATTAAATTTTCATTGAATTATATTACGTAGTTTGAAAGTTATTTAAGAAAATTTTTTTTTCCGGTGGCGTCCTTTTGTAGGCCATATCTCCGCAGGGAGGGCCGCTAAGAAAAAAAATTATGGAAACTTGTCATCTTATTTTTAATGTTCTCTCTGAATCCGAGAGACCTCCCAAATTTTCCCGTATACATTGAGTTGCAGTTTCTACATTAATATCGAGAAATAAATAAAAACGCAGCACTTTTTTTACTTATATGGTTTAATATTTATTTCATTCCGAAAGAGTTAGTTTTGGTTTTCTTCCACGATTTTTGACTAACCATACAGTTTTTCATCATTTTGCAATGTCCAATCGCTTTTATGAATAATTATTTTTCCTATTAAAACAAACCCTAGTTTTGCAAAAAATGTTATGGCAAATAAATAAAATAAACTTTTATTAAAACAAAATTAAAAATAGATAGGCACGCAATTACATTTCTAAAATTTATTTCATCCTCTATGAAAATTTTTTAAACTGTTTTTAACTTATAATATTTTTTCAAATTAATTTCTATATAGAAAATAATATTTTCAAGCATCGAATTGACCACATCTACGCTTTTGGTCAGGGGTTACCCAAACCGTGTAGAAAGTGTGGTTAATGTTCCCACCCACGAAGGCACCATAAATGATTGTTATCAAATTTTCCCAACCTCTAGCTCAACGTAAATGGATTTGTTTCAGTGCCCCCAAGATGGCTAGTCGAACCAGTGGACGTGAGCGTAGAACGCAATAGACACGTTGCTCTACATTGTCAAGCTCAGGGTGTTCCCTCGCCGACAGTAATTTGGAAAAAAGCTACAGGTCTCAAAATTATTTTTTTTTAACAATTACACTTGTTGCTTGACCAAAATCGTTTTTAGAAAGGTTTAAAGGTGCATTCCATGTTATTGGTACATTCCATGTTATTGGTACACTACACTTTTAATAACTTTAATACCTTTTTACTTGTGTGTACTATTTAATTTTATTAGTTTTTGGGAGATATTTGCCAGGGGCCTATTTCATAAAACTTATTAGTCTAATAATATTGGCCAAAGTTTAATATTATGAGTAAGAAATATTAGTTTTAGTTTCATATTTTAGGTAATAAAATTAGTTATTAGTAAACTTACTCTTAATATTAATTTATTATATTTGTAAAATTTGAAGTATGTTTCATAGTTAAAGTAAACAAATAATTTTAAATAATAAATAACTACTAATATTATTACTTAATTTGCACTGATATTATAAGTGACTTATTTTATTTAAAAATTATTGATTCAAATTCAAGTGATGATCAAATTAGAATTGTAGTTGGACGACCGAGAATTTTCAGAGAGAGAATTTCATATGTACATTTAGAAGAAACCTACGAATTCAATGAAAGGTTTAGGTTACCTACTGGAAGTTTTAGTATAATACTGCAACGGATAGAACATCTTTTATCTTCTGATACTCAAAGAAATCATGCGCTTACAGCCAAGTAGCAATTGATGCACTACATTGGCTTGGAAGTGGGATGCAGTACCATGATGTTGCAGATATGCATGGTATTAGTAAAACTACTGTGCGCAGAGTTGTTCACAGAGTTGTTACAGTAAATAATCAAATTTTAATAAACGAAACAGTTTGTTGGCCAGTGGATGTGGCTGAAGTAATTTATGAGTTTAGTGAAATGGCTGGAATGCCCTTGTGTGTGGAGCAGTGGACAAGACTTTAATTAAAATTGATGCTCCAAGTCAATATGAGCCTGGTTTTGTGGATCGTCATGATAATCATTCATTAAACATGATGCTTGTCCAACAATGAAGTTTTATTATGTAAATGCCAATTAGCCTGGTAGCGAGTTTGGAGGCGAAGTACACTTAGAATCGGAATGGAAGATGGTTGAAGACCTTTTCCAAATGCCGTACTATTAGGTGATTCAATTTATCCTTTAAAGCCTTGGCTTATACTACCTGTACTTCGTACAACAAAAATTTTTAAGAGCACACAAAAGTACAAGACGAGTTATTAAATGTGCCATTGGTATTTTGAAAGAAAAATATCCATGCATCAACCATTTACGATTAAAACCTAGATTTGCCTGCGAGGTAATAAAATATTGCGTTGTACTCTGCAATTTAACAAAAATAGGAGTTGAGAGGTATAATAATAGAGAAGAAAATGACATTAACATTGATATGGTAGACGACGGCAAACAATTACCTAGAGAAGCAGGTGGCGAGAAAACATTACATTACTTTTATAATCACTTTCGGAATGCCTGAAATAATATCTATAAATGTAAAGAAAACATTTTATTTTTCAGAATAGTGGAAAATTTATTTTGTATATATTTTTTGTTCTGCAAAATAATAAATTGGTAGGCATTTGAGAAGTAGCTACTTTATCGGGTCGGTGGTGTAGCGGTCTAACGCACTTATATTCATTTATAGGCTAGTTTATGACTCAGAGACTGCTGGGCTTCGAATCCCAGACCAGACCATGTATATTTTTAATTAAATTGCATGATTCGGTTTAAAATTTGATGTGTGCCGTATTAATAGAAATTCAATTTCTGTTGATATGACATGCAGATTATAAAATCGCCATGCATTACCGTCTCGATGATGGTGGGTGAGGTTTTCCGGGTTTTCCTCACCTCTAAGTCAAATGGCACCATCAGTCATCTTTAAGTCGCCCCGGAGCGCCACGGCAAATAATAATAATAGCTGTCCCTTTCCCCGCACAAGCTCAGCTTTTGGGGTTAAAATAAACTCGTAAGGGGGTGAATTAGGGAGAGTATTATTATTATTATTAATTAAACTTTCATCAGTTATAGTAATAAAATAAATAAAAGTGTAACATATGTTTTATTTTAATGCTTTTAAAGATATTAAAATATCATTATTTTTCTTTAACATAAACTGCCTTTCGTCACAATCAGTAGAATTTACAATCATAACCTGTCCCAGTTATGTTTCGCAACCACTGATATAGTTGGATATTATTCATAGTATGAACAAAATGTTTAACATTAATTGAACATTCTTTTTCCCAAACTTCCATTTCCAACTTCTGAACCTCAAGCTGAAGTTTCTTTATTTTAAAAGATTGAATGTTATTAGCATCACCTGGTTGCTGAACAATAACTTTTTTCTTACTTACAAAAATAATATACAGGGTTGGCCAAACGTCTGTCGTAGTTCTATAACTCCTACTATGCAAATCTTAACGATTTATTTGATGTATACCTGTCAATGGTGGCCTATACCAAATATCCCAAAATTATTTTCTTGTGTACAGGGTGGCCCAATAGTAAATTAGGCAAATCACTTAATTTTTTTTAAATGGAATTACCCAACTTTTTTCACATTTTTAGGTACTCTATGGTTACTAGTACATACCCACAAAATATTGTTTCTAACATCCCACCCCTTTCGCAGAAAAAAAAATTACCAAAAAATATTACATTTTCAGACGCCTATTAAAATATGCAGTGCTCTCTCGAATTTGATGTTAGAATTTAAAAAACTACGATTGTATAAAGCCAATAGACCAAAGATTTTTTTGGACCAAGTTTGAATTTTTTATTTTGTACAAGGTGGTCACAAATTAATTTCACTTTCCAAAAATGTCCAGGGAAATTTTTTAAAATTTTTCAAATGTATTACCTTGTATTTCTATTCATCAACTGAAGGAGAATTTCATACCCTTCCACTCCCCTATGTACTTTCCTATACCTATCTGTCGCCGTTATGAAATAAATTCAAAAGGAAGAAAATTACGATAATAAAATTTATTTGAAATTTATCCTAAAACATAAATTTATATTTTATAAAAGATGCTCAAAATGTCTGCTATTTTCTCTAATGCATACATTTATTCGTTGGGCGAATGATCGAGAAACGTTTCTAAGCATATCAGGTGTAATGGAATGGAAAGCTTGCACTATCCTTTCTTTCATATTTTCAGGTGTTGTAGGTGGCGTAAGATAGACTAGATTTTTAATATAACCCCACAAAAAATAATCGGGTTTTTTTAAGTCAGGTGATCGAGCTAGCCATTTTTTTGGACCATTTCTACCAATCCATCTATTTGGAAACTTTTCATCTAATTCATCTGCCACTTCGCGTAAAAAATGCGCTGCTGCCCCATCATGTTGGTACCACATTGTTAGTCTTACAGCAAGTAAAGTAGGAAGATGATTTGCTAAAAAATCTAAATACATCAGACCATTTAAGTTGCCTTCAAAAAAATACGGCCCAATAACATGATCCCCAATTATACCTCCCCAAACATTTACACTCCATCTTTCTTGGCTATGTGTTCTGATGATGTTAGGATTTTCCGTGGAATAATAGTGGAAATTATGTCTATTAACGAATCCGTTCTTGTGGAATGTAGATTCATCAGAAAACAGCACTCTATCAAAAAAAAAAATGGATTTTGTTGCAGTTTAGTTTGTGCCCAGTTACAAAACACCATTCTATTATCAAAATCGGTGTCTTTCAGCTCTTGATGCAATTGTATTTTATAAGGATGATATTGTTTTAAAATCCTTCTAACGGATGTTCTACTTATACCTACTACTTCGGCAATCTTTTTTTGACTTACATGAGGATCTTCTATCGCTGTCAAAATTACTGATAATTGGTTATCATTATCAGTAGCACGTTTGTCAATTATTGGTTTTTTATAAGCAACATTTCCTGTTTCGGTAAATCTTTCATGTAACTTTTCAAAACTTTTTTGATCAGGGATGCGTCTATCGGGATATCGTTGATGATAAATTCTTTTTGCCAATAAACAATTTCTGTCGGATTCTCCCAAAACATAGACCATGTCAATTAATTCGTTTTTCGTAAAATTCATTATTAATAGAAGAATTATCGCGATCAGTAAAAATAACTTGACACTTCATTAATAAATAATCTGACACTTCATTAAGACCCAGCCTACTTGATTGAATGTTCACTTTCAATAAAACCACTGGTAGAAATTGGATTTTTGATAGATCAATGTCTTTTTGGAATTTACTTTTAAACGACGACAGATAGGTATAGGAAAGTACATGGGGAAGTCGAAGGGTATAAAATTCTCGTTTTATCGATGAATAGTAATACAGGGTGTTCTATTTGAAAAATTTGAAAAAAATGTCCTAGAAATTAATTTGTGACCACCCTGTACAAAATAAAAAATTAAAACTTGGTCTTAAAAAATCTTTGGTCTATTGGCTTTATACATTTGTAGTTTTTTAAATTCTAACGTCAAATTCGAGAGAGCACTGCATATTTTAATAGGCGTCTGAAAATGTAATATTTTATGGTATTTCTTCTTTTTCTGCGAAAGGGGTAGGATGTTAGAAACAATATTTTGTGGGTTTGCACTAGTGGCCATAGAGTACCTAAAATTGGAAAAAAAATTGGGTCATTCCATTAAAAAAAAAAAATAAGTGATTTGCCTAATTTACTATTGGGCCACCCTGTACACAAGAAAATAATTTTGGGATGTTTGGTTTTGACCACCATTGACAGGTATACTTCGAATAAATCGTTAAGATTTGCATAATAGGAGTTATAGAACTACGACAGAGGTTTGGCCAACCCTGTATGTAATCATCTGAATTAGAAACTAGGTTGACTTGTTTTCAAATAATTTTAGTCACATTATAGTCTTACCTCTACATGAACTTTGTTGAAGCGAGCATTTGCTTTTTGTAGTGCCATTATCATCGTTTTCATTGGGCATAGAATAACTAAAGTCCTCAGTAATGTCTTTAACTTCGGAAATAGTTTCCATTGAATCGGGTACGTCAATTCCTTGAACAACAGGAGATTCCTTTCCAATTATTTCTATCACTAGTTTATCAGTGTCATCTAATTTTGATTCGGGACCTCCTTGTGCGCCAGTTTTATTTGATTGGTCAATTTTTGTCTGTAATCAAATAAAAATCTTTTATATGCTTTACAAGTGAGGACGGCTCAATAGTAAAATTAAAAACTAATTAATATTACACAGGATGCAAAAAATGTTTTTAAAATTTTCCAAATAACTGATTTATAGTGTATTTTTTAGTGCTGATTTTAAAAACAAAATTCATTTTTTCGGCTACTTCAGAATATCTCACAAGAATGGTCTATTTTGGGTAAAAAACTAAATTTTACGCTTAAGTTTCTAAATTTTAATAAGCAGATAAAAGATGGCATGGTTTACATATTATACACAACAGAATATTGTTACGCTGGTTTTTGGTATCACAATTTATTTCAACTGAACTTTACAATAACTATAATTCAACTTTGACAATAACTTACAACTGATAACATTCACGTATAACGTCTATCATAAAACTGAACTCTTACGTCAGGTCGTCGCCTTATATAGCTTGCCTTCCCTTCTGGAAATTTCTCGAACAATCTAGACTTTTCTTTGACAAAGAATGACATTTCGAGACTTTTCGGGAATATTCTATCTTCTTTATTTACTCGTACCTTTACTTATGATGACCGCAGCACGATACAGGGTGCTGCGTAACATTGCTCCCTCCTCTCTAGTTATTCGCCTTGAATAACTTGGTTACTGGTACCTGGCTGGAGCCAATGGGGAGGATCTGGACCACGGTATGGCGCTAACTTTTCAATGTGAACTACCTTGGGTTTACTTCTCGTTGACAACTGAATGCGGTAGATCAGGGGTGGGATTCCGTTTCACGATTTGACTCGAATTTGATCATCAAACTCCATCAAAGCAATTCCGTTTAACGAGTAGTCGATTCGATATCAAATCGTTAAAGTTGGATTATTCTGACATTAGGTATGACCTGTCAATGAGGTTAAATAATAAGCCTCTGGCTTAAAATTTTAGGGAAGAAAGGAATTTGGTTTCCAGGGCATACATATGTCTCTGGCAATACCTTTTCTGGATAACCTATTGTGTAACAGAGGTCTTTTATATCCCTAGAATATCAATAAAAGGATTAGTTATTATACAAAACGATACAAAATATAAACATTTATAGGTTCTCTTTATTCAGCTGAAAAAGTTCTCCACGACGATTTTCTGGAAGTTCGAAACGATCGTTTCTTTTTTGTAACTCATCCTTTCTTTAGCCTAATAATAATAATAAATAATATTTTTATAATTTAATCCATTATGAGTGATCCTTGCAATTCTGAATGCAGAGTTGTTTGTGCCCGGTGAGGGATGACTATTATTATTTTCCATGGCTCTCCGAGGCAACTTACAGATGTCATTTGAATTATAGATGAGGATACCCCGGAAAAACCCCACCCATAAGCATAAAAACTAATAAAAATTACAATTTAATTTTTGTTGTTTGACGTTAAAAGTCGTGACATTCTGTTCTGTGTCGAGTAACTCGACACATAATTCGATCGAATTAAAAACAGCGATTCTATAACTCGATCTGTTTTGACTTCGGAAATCTTCGGAAATTCGACAAAATAATGAAGCATTCAAACTATTCTGACTTTTAAACGTCAAACAACAAAACTTAAATTGTATTTTTTTAGTCTTGACGTGAATTATTTATTAAGTTTTATTCTTATGGGTGGGGTTCTTCCGTAGTGTTCTCATTTATAATTTGAATGACATCTGTAAGTTGCCGCTGAGCGCCATGGAAAATAATAATAGTCGTCCCTCCCCGACAAAAATTAAATTGTATTGTATTTGGTTTTAGCCATAAGCCATAAGATTAATAATTTATTTTTTTATGATGATGCTTGGGTTTTTTTCTGGGAATCCTATAAGTTAGATGACACCATCTGTAAGTTCCATTGGAGCGCCATGGCAAATAATAATAATACTCGACCACGGTGGTGTAGGTGTCTACGGCGCGGCATTCATTTGTCAGCCAATTTTCTGGTAAAACGAGACACGGTTTCAGATCCTACGGAAGACCATGTGAATTTATTTGCATGGTTCATTATAGCATTTGATGGATGCCATATTAGCAGAAATTTAATTTCTGTAATTATGACATCTAGCTTATTAAAATAAAATCACCATGCATTACCGTTTTCGATGATTTTCGGGTTTTCCTCACCTGTAAGTCAAATGGCACCATCAATCATCTTTAAGTCGCCCCGGAGCGCCACAGCAAATAATAATAATAATAGCCGTCCCTTTCCCCGCACAAGCTCAGCTTTTGGGGTTAAAATTCACTCGTAAGGGGGTGAATTAGGGAGAGTATTATTATTATACGGTTGTCCCTCCCCGATACCAGCTATATGCTTTCAGATTTGCAGGATTCACTCGTAATGGGCTAAATTATAAAAAGATTATTATTTAATATTATTGTGCTTTGTGCAAAAGAAAGAATGACCTAAGGGAAAGAAGCGATCCTTTCGAACTCTCTGAAAATCGCTATGGATAGCTTTTTTGGCCGAATAAAGATTACCTACCTTTATTAAATTATATTTTATAGCGTTTTAAGTAATTAATAAATCCTCTTATTGATGTTTCAAGTAGTATGCAGAGTCCCTACTATTTCATAGGGACAGTGTTAATATTTCTTAAACGCTAACAGATATAAGGTTGGTTAAATTAGAGAAAAATTACGCAGTTTTGTGCTTATTAAAATGGTGCCAAGAAACCTTTGATATCTAGAAGGAGATTTAAAATATCGGACAAAAAATGAAAATTGTAATTTCTTTAAATTCATTCATTCGTTTTTTGTCAGATATTTTGAATTTCTTTGTATATATCAAATGTTTTCTGGCACCATTTTAATAAGCACAAAACTGCGCAACTTTTGTCAAATTCAACCATTTTTCTATTTGTTAGCGTTTAAGAAATAGCAATACTGTCCCTGGCTCACGAGCTAGTAGGTACCTATCTAATTGGGAGATTGCACAATGGGCCTAGTAAGGCCTAAGTGCCATGAGTTAACCCACCCTTTACACGTTACAAATACAGATACTGTCCCTATGAAATAGTATAATGACCCCGTATATACCTAATAGAGAAAATAAGGCCTTTAATGCAGTAGAGGTTATTTAGAAAAGGCACATTGCTGCAGGAAAGGTTCATACCTATTGTCAAAAAAATTCAACTTTAATGATTTGATATCGAATCGACTAATCTAGAGCTATCGAGTTATTTTATCGAGTTTATTGTCGAATTTCGTTGAACGGAATTGCAATTATGGAATTTGATATCAAATCCGAGTCGAAGATTTCCGAAGTCAAAACAGATAGAATTGCTTTTCATAATTCGATCGAATTATGAATCGTAACGAGATCGAGTTACTCGACACAGAACGCAATCCCACCCCTGGCCGTTGATTTTCTTGAGGACGGTGTAGGGGCCTTCCCAGTTCCGTTGCAGCTTCTGACAAAGTCCTTGTCGGCGCTTGGGCTTGTACAGAGCCATACTGGATCGCTTCTCTTAAAATGTGTCCCTGTGGCATGCATGTCGATTCTAGCTTTTGCCTTATCGCTATTAACTTTCAAACGTTGACGAGCGAATCCATAGACCTTTGTCCTACCATTGCATACATCACATCTTTTACACCAATCCGCTACATCTCGTCGGCAGTTGACCCAATAAAATCTTTCCCGAACTCGTGCCAGTGTCCTCTTAGTATCAAAGTGTCCTCCTGAACGGCTGCTATGAAGCTTCTCCAATACATTTCTCACCTGTGACCTCGGCAGTATCACTTGGCGGACTACATGTACTCCATCGGGGCTCTCCCACTTCCGGTGCAATAGGCCATCGTGAAGATACAGGGAATCCCACTGGGTCCAGCAGCCTTTTATAGTTCTACTATATTTGGCTATCTCTTGCCAAGTAGATGTGACTTTATTTTTCAGCCATTCTCAGACAACCTTTAAGTCATTGTCTTTTTTCTGTCCCTATCTCAGACTTTCAAGGGTGATTTCTTCTTCGCCGCCCTCTAGTTTGATAGTAGTTGCCCGAAGGGCAACTTTATCAACTGGTTCCTCCCGTTCTCCGAGCCCCTTATTGTACTGGCATTCTCGTTCTAAACAGGGTCGCCTGGAGAGAATGTCTGCATTGCTATACAGATGGACTCTACGATGCTCTACTTCCTGATTATTCCTAGAAAACCGGCTCGATGTGGGTGATTGGCTATTTCGGGACACATGGTTGCTGTGACTATTTCTTGTTGGACTTCGTGACGGGCTTCGGAAGATTGATCTTTGTGACTTTCCAACTTCATTCCCTGATTCTCTATTTATAGAAGGAGCTCTGCTTCTACAAGTTCTTTGAAGGTGCCCGATTCTTCCGCAATTGAAGCATCTTCTGTTCTAATTTTGGTTATTTCGTTGTATATTTTGCAGGATATTCAATATTTGCGAGAAGGTAGGTTGGGGAATAGCATTAGTATGGGTCTCCTCACTTTCCTGGGATTTAATTTCTCTCATTTTTTCGCAAGAAGATCTAGATATGAGTTTTACCGCTTCATACTCCTGGGCTGCAATCAATTTCTCCTTCAATGTCTTGTGATGTTGTAGACGAAGGACTTGCTGCATTTCCGCATCTTGTAGTCTATCAATGAATGTTTGTATTCCGAGTTGTTCTTGGAAATCTTTCTGCACCCGTGGATAGGCCAGATGAATCAACCTTCTTATATCAGCCTCGAATTCTTGTATACTCTCATTATGTTTCTGACTACGAACCTTTAGCTGGCTTTGGAATATCCGTTGCAAATACTGCTGGCCATACCTTGTCTCCAAAGCTTGGACGAGAGATGAATAACTGGGTTCCTCTTGAGGAAGTAACTGTAAAACGGTTGCTGCCTGACCTCGCAGTGACACTATTAATGAAGCCGCCATCTCTTTCTCGGTCCATCCATTGGCTCTAGCTGCAGCTTCAAATTGGAGTCGATATGATTCCCATGTTGTCTGACCGTCAAACGTGGGTGGTTTCAGGGTCTTGCTAGTATAGTTTTGTGAAACTGGGATTCGAATGCGGTTTGGTTCGGTTATGGATGAAGACGAGGTAGTAGTGTTTGCAGCTTCAATGCTGTTTACTGAAGCTTGGCTGTAAATTATTTTTTCTAACTCAGCCATTTTGGCTCTAATTTGCCTTTCCAACTATAGTCTTGCCTGTTCTTGTTGTTCTAAATTAGCTTTCAAATTATCTTGCTGTTTCTCTAAATTAGCTTTTAGATACTCTTGTTGTTGCTCTAGCAGATCTATTCTAATTTTAAGCTGACTAACCTCTTGCTTGAAGGTCTCTTGGATTTGCAGCAAACCATTCATAATTTCTACCTCTGCTTTCCTTCGCCTTTCCTCCTTCTCTTTTTCCTCTTCCTTCCTACGCCTTTCCTTTTCCTCCTCTTCTTCCTTCCTACGCCGTTCCTTTTCCTCTTCCATCTTCAAAAAACCATGCTGGTGGGCCTGAAGTGTCCATTTCTGCTTCGTACTCAGTAGATCTAGTATTTACCATGAACTTTTACTTTATATCCCACCGCTGTCACCAATGTTACTCTGGTTTTTGGAATCAGAATTCATTTCAACTTAACTTTACAATAACTATAATTAAACTTTGACAATAACTTACAACTGATAACATTCACGTATAACGTCTATCATAAAACTGAACTCTGACGTCAGCTCGTCGCCTTATATAGCTTGCCTTCCCTTCTGGAAACTTCTCGAACAATCTAGACTTTTCTTTGACAAATAATGACATTTCGAGACTTTTCGGGAATATTCTATCTTCTTTATTTACTCGTACCTTTACTTATGATGACCGCAGCACGATACAGGGTGCTGCGTAACAATATTAAAAAAATGCATAAATATAAAGGCCAAAGTGCTTGTAAAATATAACAGCTTCTTTGAAAATATTTGCAAAAGTATTTGATGGAATGTTTTTAAATATTTTCCCATAATCAGCACTAAAAATTTTATAAAAATTACTGATTAAATTTGAGATTATTTTTTTGTTGCAGACCTGTATTATAGAAAAATTAAAAAAAATAATCAGAAGTTTTACAGTACTAAAAATTATAATACACCTTAGGCTCTAATGCGATGTTTCTTTATTACAATGTTTCCATTATTTAGGCACACCAATGTTGAATAAGCTTTGTGAAATCATTATGTATTAAAAACTCATTCTTAAATGTGGCGATATCTCATCGAATGCAATTGAAATACAATTAAAGTAAATAACTGCATTTATGTAGTCGTATTATAAATAAAGATAACACCATTGTTCTGTACCTTAAGGTTAGGCCAAGTTGCTTCGCGTACATAACAAAACTCTCTGTCGCTTCCTATTAGACCAATAATCTCTTACATTTATCCATGCTGTTTTCCGTGACTTTTTGGTAAACTAGTAAAAAAACTGACCAAAAAGTTCATTCTTTAATTCTAATATTTTTCTTAAAAAGTTTTGATTTTTCATTTTATTTTCTTCCCTTTTGCTTAATTTAGGCACCTTTTATTTCAATAAGAATGTCACTTTTACCTTTTGACATATCAACTAAACTTCAATTATGACACTAGATCTAGTAGGTAGCTGCCATGCTGCTAATATATTAGAAAAGATTCTGTCACTAATAATATGTGTGAATTTAAATAATCTGTGAAACAGAAAACAACCAAATTATATTATTATTTTATTAGTCTAATATTATTTACTAAAAATATGTTATTTTTATGAAATATGTCCCTGGTATATTATTTTTAGTATAACTAATTTTGGTTGAAAAATTTTAAGCAGGACTGGACTTTCAGTACTTTTTCCAGAATGTTGCATTAATCTCTTTGAAAAATAAATCAAATTTAACTAAAATTGATCTGTTATAAACCTGGATTGATGTCAACAAATGTTAACGTGCTTTATTACTTAATGACCATTTCATTGGATTTTGTACAAACAGGGTCAAACATTATAAAAATTTTATACAGGGTGATGAAAAATGAAAATCCTAGTCCGGTGTTTTTAGTTCACTTTAAGATTTCAGTTTTTAATTTAATTTATATTTTGCACAAAAACATTTATAATTTAACATGGATTTGACCCTCGTGCTAATAAATTTAAGTATAATAGATTATTTGGCCTTCCAGCCAGCAAATCAGGTGACTATGAGGAGGTGAGAGATCACATGTACACCAAATTATTAGGAAATGGTACGTTGCTGCTACAACACGTCAAAGAAGATCGTGAAGGGTATTATTTGTGTCAAGCAGATAATGGAATCGGTACTGGCATTGGTAAAGTAATCCAGTTAAGGGTAAATTGTAAGTATTCACTCAAACAATAATTATTATTTCTTTTATATTGTAACATTGTTTTATACGGTGCGAATGATTTCACTATTTCAACAGTAGCTTAGAGGATCTATTTCTACCTGCTCCCCCTGGTTTTTTATTTTATTAATTCTTTATTATTATTTTTGTATAGTGTTTCTAGACACAATCCAATACAGGCGTTTGTACCGGTAGTGCGTTAAAAGCGCTGAGAATGCTACGAATTCTGTACACTAACATTGCAAATAAGCGCGAATCGTCTTGGTATATGCTTGGTGATGTGGCCCACTTAAGTTTTAAACATCAACGTACCTACAGTTGATGTACAGTCCACACGTGAGCTGTCAGTTGTTCTTTATTCAGTAGCGTGCACGATCTAAAAAAATTTCTCAAAGCGTTTGTTAAACTTGTTTTTGTTTTTCGGTGTTACTGAGGCCCTTCCTATGGGACATCAGTATTAAATTCGTGCAGACGAAAAAAATTTCTTATCCCCATTTTTTAAACTCCGAAAATGAAAAAAAAAATTTCGTCTGGTGGTCTGTGCGTATGTATGCCGACACGATAACTCGAGAACGAAATTTCTGATTGACTTGCGGTTTTGATTTTCTTGAATAATTGCTTCTAACTTAGAACCCTATTGATTTTCAGAATTTTTGGTTCATCCTAACTACTTTAATATTAATTTTCCTAAAATCCTCCCATGCATTTCTTATGTCACTAATGTTACGCATTCCAAGCATTCCTAACATCTAACATTCCATAGACTTTCATAGTTGCAACCAACCGTACACCTTATTTAAAATTATAAAAATAATAGTTGTTGGGTGTCCAAAATATGAACTGTGATTGGTGGATTTTATTTTTTGCAGTGTTCTCACTACCTAGAATGGATATGAAATATATTCGTTCAGTTGAACACAATGGGCGCGTTCAGCCGACGCAACAGTTCAGTATGGGGACTTGTTGGGTCTTCTGAACGTCACTTGTTGAGTTTTGGTTAGTTTCAACCGTTGCTCAACATCGGCACCAGGAAAATTCTATGGTGACTTTTATAAACGAAGTATTGTAGGTACTCAGTGTTGCAAACTAAAGGAATTTTTAATTTAGAGATTTCCAGTATTTTTTAAATTCTCCTAAAGTTAAACCATGATGAAAAATGTTCGTTATGACTGATTATGACTGTATATTTTTACATCATCTTAATTTGTAACCGAAAATTATTTTATTTATATCACCACTAGAGGTCACCACGTGTATGTGTATTGTCTAACCGCTGAACCAACTTATACCGTTTAGGTACTTTTAATTGTTGACTTTCACCATATCAGAAAATGTTTTCGGTTTTAATCAATTGTTGCGTCGGCTGAACACGCCCAATGACATACTTTTTCATTTTGTAGTATGTGCGTAGATAAGCTAATATTCATGAAGGTGTAGAAAATTAGTAGTTTGTGCAACAAGAGTGGATATGGACAATCCACTCCAGTTGTACGACCCACTAACGAAAATCTAAAAATGGAATAATCGAAAAATCGAAAAATCGAAAAATCAAAAAATCGAAAAATCGAAAAATCGAAAAATCGAAAAATCGAAAAATCGAAAAATCGAAAAATCGAAAAATCGAAAAATCGAAAAATCGAAAAATCGAAAAATCGAAAAATCGAAAAATCGAAAAAATCGAAAAATCGAAAAATCGAAAAATCGAAAAATCGAAAAATCGAAAAATCGAAAAATCGAAAAATCGAAAAATCGAAAAATCGAAAAATCGAAAAATCGAAAAATCGAAAAATCGAAAAATCGAAAAATCGAAAAATCGAAAAATCGAAAAATCGAAAAATCGAAAAATCGAAAATCGAAAAATCGAAAAATCGAAAAATCGAAAAATCGAAAAATCGAAAAATCGAAAAATCAAAAATCGAAAAATCGAAAAATCGAAAAATCAAAAATCGAGAAATCGAAAAATCGAAAAATCGAAAAATCGAAAATCGAAAAATCGAAAAATCGAAAATTCGAAAAATCGAAAAATCGAAAAATCGAAAAATCGAATAATGAAAAAATCGAAAAATCGAAAAATCGAAAAATCGAAAATCGAAAAATCGAAAAATCGAAAAATCGAAAAATCGAAAAATCGAAAATCGAAAAATCGAAAATCGAAAAATCGAAAAATCGAAAATCAAAAATCGAAAATCGAAAAATCGAAAAATCGAAAAATCGAAAAATCGAAAAATCGAAAAATCGAAAAATCGAAAATCGAAAAATCGAAAATCGAAAAATCGAAAAATCGAAAAATCGAAAAATCGAAAAATCGAAAAATCGAAAAATCGAAAATCGAAAAATCGAAAAATCGAAAAATCGAAAAATCGAAAAATCGAAAATCGAAAAATCGAAAAATCGAAAAATCGAAAAATCGAAAAATCGAAAATCGAAAAATCGAAAAATCGAAAATCGAAAAATCGAAAAATCGAAAAATCGAAAAATCGAAAAATCGAAAAATCGAAAATCGAAAAATCGAAAAATCGAAAATCGAAAATCGAAAAATCGAAAAATCGAAAAATCGAAAAATCGAAAAATCGAAAAATCGAAAATCGAAAATCGAAAATCGAAAAATCGAAAAATCGAAAAATCGAAAAATCGAAAAATCGAAATCGAAAAATCGAAAAATCGAAAAATCGAAAAATCGAAAAATCGAAAAATCGAAAAATCGAAAAATCGAAAAATCGAAAAATCGAAAAATCGAAAAATCGAAAATCGAAAAATCGAAAAATCGAAAAATCGAAAAATCGAAAAATCGAAAAATCGAAAAATCGAAAATCGAAAAATCGAAAAATCGAAAAATCGAAAAATCGAAAAATCGAAAAATCGAAAAATCGAAAAATCGAAAAATCGAAAAATCGAAAAATCGAAAATCGAAAAATCGAAAAATCGAAAAATCGAAAAATCGAAAAATCGAAAAATCGAAAAATCGAAAAATCGAAAAATCGAAAAATCGAAAAATCGAAAATCGAAAATCGAAAATCGAAAAATCGAAAAATCGAAAAATCGAAAAATCGAAAAATCGAAAAATCGAAAATCGAAAAATCGAAAAATCGAAAAATCGAAAAATCGAAAAATCGAAAAATCGAAAAATCGAAAAATCGAAAAATCGAAAAATCGAAAAATCGAAAAATCGAAAAATCGAAAAATCGAAAATCGAAAAATCGAAAAATCGAAAAATCGAAAAATCGAAAAATCGAAAAATCGAAAAATCGAAAAATCGAAAAATCGAAAAATCGAAAAATCGAAAAATCGAAAAATCGAAAAATCGAAAAATCGAAAAATCGAAAAATCGAAAAATCGAAAAATCGAAAAATCGAAAAATCGAAAAATCGAAAAATCGAAAAATCGAAAAATCGAAAAAATCGAAAAATCGAAAATCGAAAATCGAAAAATCGAAAAATCGAAAAATCGAAAAATCGAAAAATCGAAAAATCGAAAAATCGAAAAATCGAAAAATCGAAAAATCGAAAAATCGAAAAATCGAAAAATCGAAAAAATCGAAAATCGAAAAATCGAAAAATCGAAAAAATCGAAAAATCGAAAAATCGAAAAATCGAAAAATCGAAAATCGAAAAATCGAAAAATCGAAAAATCGAAAATCGAAAAATCGAAAATCGAAAAATCGAAAAATCGAAAAATCGAAAATCGAAAAATCGAAAAATCGAAAAATCGAAAAATCGAAAAATCGAAAATCGAAAAATCGAAAAATCGAAAATCGAAAATCGAAAAAATCGAAAAATCGAAAAATCGAAAAATCGAAAAATCGAAAAATCGAAAATCGAAAAATCGAAAAATCGAAAAATCGAAAAAATCGAAAAATCGAAAAATCGAAAAATCGAAATCGAAAATCGAAAAATCGAAAAATCGAAAAATCGAAAAATCGAAAAATCGAAAATCGAAAAATCGAAAAATCGAAATCGAAAATCGAAAAATCGAAAATCGAAAAATCGAAAAATCGAAAAATCGAAAAATCGAAAAATCGAAAAATCGAAAATCGAAAAATCGAAAAATCGAAAAATCGAAAAATCGAAAAATCGAAAAATCGAAAATCGAAAATCGAAAAAATCGAAAAA